TTATGCACTTCAAAGCACGCGGCGGTTTTTGTTTACAGGTCCCTTCTGGTCGCCGTTTGCTGCAGTGCACTTGGAACTCGTGCTTATATTGCGCCACTACGGACACCCATTGTGCGTGTCGAAGATAAACCGATCCTCGGGTAGTTAGCCCATTGTGGGGCGGTGATTCTCCCCACTGTTAGCCGGAATTTCTTCTGTTTCGCCCCTTCTCCGCTTCGAGGCTAGTGGTAGGATCTAGGGTGGGGGGGGGCACAGACATTAGCGTGTTATATATAGTAGGATGATTCGAGCTTGGGACGTGATTTACTCCGTTGCTGTGGAGTGCACCGCTAGAAAGAAATAGCATTTTTCGAAAGCGCATAATTTGAATCATTGATTTGACTCATCTGTAACAAGTTAGTTTCAGTAGAACTCTCAGCTCAGTAGAGCGCATCGCGTACTGCGGCGATATGACAGCAGCTGACAAAAAATCAAATCAAAGCAAGCTATAACTAGTAAAAGCTAAAAGCTTTACGGTTCTGTGCTGGTATTGGCTGACCGACTCATCACGTTGTACGTGTGAGGCTGATAAGCTGTGGCATAACAGCCATCAAAAGGTGGAAGCAACAGGGGTTCTGGTAGTAGAGAGAGAAGAGCACGGTGCTTCAATAGCAGTAAGGATTTGTGTCCCGTCCAAGACCAAAATTTGATCATAACTCGTAAACCTTTTGAGACTTTCGTGCTGAGTTCTGAGACTTTTTTTTGCTGGACCGTGGCGAAGTAAAAGCAGCTGAAAACGAAGTTTTCAGTCGAAGTGGACAATTCGCAATGCTGCAATACCCTAAGTGCTGAGATACTGAATTTAAATTTTTTTCCTGAAAACAGAGGTGGAAGAATTAGGAGAATCGGAAATTCATTGGATATCTAGATTCCTTACGAGCAAAGCTTCCAGCTAAATTCACTTTCAACTTGACTGGAAAACTTTAGCACAAGTCATGTACGGCAAAGCGAAGATTTGCCAAAGATAATTCTGTCACAACGGATCAATCCGTCGCAAACCGTCAGTTGATCACCAGTTGGTAGGTAGCGGCAGTATCGTGCTTCGCGCTATCGATTTGATATCATACTTGCACAAGTGTATTCTTAAGAAGAGATTGGAGTTTATTGTCACATCGCACCCTCTCTTCAGACTCCACGAATGAATGCTGGTTGTTATATTGCGTCATTGTTAAGTGTTGCTTTCATGTTTCATTTGCTCATTTGCTTTATTGATTAAATGATTATTTACTTATTCAGTAGGCGTATCACGCTGTACAAACTAGGTATATAGTTAAATAAATAATCAAATAACTGAACAAAACTCATTCCCTTTGATAAAAGTGGTTTCAACGTAAATGGGATCAGCACTTACAACAAAGTAGGCATATATTTCATACTGATCATTTTTGCAATCGATATTTATATCCAAAGACTTCAGACCGTGAAACTTTAAAATGAATACGATCGAGAAACACAAAAGTTGTTATCCAAATAGTGTGATAATGGTGGTCACCGTGCTACTATATTACAAAGCAAATGTTCCACATTTCCTTCATTCGTCCTGCCTGGCTTATATGCTTTCTACATTCACAATTCTTAAATAATGAAAACAAACTATTGAATTTTGAATGCTTTTAATGTGCTGTATTACTGCAAAGCATGTGCCAATGTATCGCGGAGTACAGCACATCTTCAAGAGCCGGAGGCGATGCTCTCATGAACAGATCGGTACAATTTCAATGGATAGGACCAGTACAAAGAAAACTATAGTCAAAATTGAAAAAATTTTTCGGCTGGGTGCCTCTGATACCTATGTGGGCCACATCAACTATTATATTACTGCGAAAGATGCACATCCTTACCTGAGTTTAGGGGTGACGAAAAAGACGAAGCCAGATTCGTCGAATATGCCGGTTTGTAGTCTAAGGTTGTTGTAGTGGATCTCAACTTTGAGATACTTCTTCCCTGTCTGACCACCTAGTGGCAGGCCAGCTTCAGAGGGGTAATTTATAGGCTGGAAGTAGATATTTAAAACGAGAGGCTGGCAAAAGTTTCAGTTTCAACACCGGTGAACGTTTTAGCCCATCAGCTTGAGACCGACGAAGTATCACGTCGTACACAAAGTACTGAGGAGGAAGTCAATCACTATGACACGTAACATGTAGAAAGGCATGTGAGAGCAAGAAAATCTATGAGAATATGTGGTCTATGAGAATATGTGCCTATACACCGAATATTTTTGAGCCTGACAAATAATATTTTAATAGGTGTTGGAAATGAGCTGCAGCGTAGCTATGTGGAAAAAACCTTAGCCGCTGTTCTAATCGAGACCAATGTGAAAGTGACTCGCTATCGCTTTTGCTTTTGATCATTGGAAATATGAACGAGTGAATTCATCTCGAAAAAAGTTTGCCGTGTACAGATATCTCATCTGGTTGAAGACACAGATCCCTCACGGGACTGGACCCACCTCGGCTTTCGTGGTCTCACTTTCAGAGCCCCATATGTTTAAAGTCTCTCTTGAGCCATGGAGTAGTAAGCGCCTGTTGTGTGCTTCCACGTCATCATGATGATTTAAAGCTATCCGAAAAAGTCAAATCACTTCTGCACAAACCAATATCAAGGTTGTTGTGGTTACGGTTGTGGTTGTAGCTGAACTAATATGTACTATAATCAAAAAAATTAGCGTAGATATTGATTACGATATTCACTCCTACCATAGATGTTGCTTCAACGGGGTATATAGAAAAAGAGAGTTTCCTCGAGTGGAACCCTCCGCAACAAACAAAAACAAAGTTTATCTCACCCATTATGATCTTCGTTTCCTTCCAGATGATATGGGAATCAGTAGTACATGTAGCGAAATGATCAGATTAATCTATGATCTTTCATTTTATCCCAAATGATAATACGTATTCCACTTCTCTAGTATGCTAGCGACACCTTTCTCGATTGAATTCTCGGTCGGGATGAAGGTCAATAATTCCTATCCCGCGTACGGACCATCAACAAAGCAGTGGTCGGGACGTCCCCTAGACCGATTTCCGGGAGCGTCGAATTTTAGGCTAATCTTACAGACACTATTGAGGACATGAAAAGAACACGCATAAGTCATGGTCCTACCATCCCAGGAGAGCTTTGCTCATCTTGTCAGCAATGAAGGCTAGTCCGAGACGCTCCTTTACTGCCTCGTTGCGAATATGGTATGAACTCATAATCTCAGTCTTCCATCGCGGCATTTTCGTTTCTATTTCTCGGAAGGGTTCTCTGCTACAAGGCAACACTCCGCATAGAAAACCACGACTGGTCCTGCCACGCGACTTCAGTTCTTTTATTCGAGGCGATCCAGAATCGTCGAGCGCCATTCAGACTCGCAAACATTATTCTGCATTTCCATAGGGTAAGTTGTGATTTGAGAGATGCGCTTTGATTGCTACTAAGGAGATCAAGGTAAAGCATTATTGCCCCCTTTTACGGATCATTACATAGGTTTGACATTTTGACAGTACCTTATAGCAATAATGGCGAGAGTTTTTTCTTTCGTAGGTTTCGTTTTAAAATAGAGAAGAATATGTAGGTCATTAGATCAGAGCGACTCAACATGTGATTTATTCTGCTAGCTGTTGGACCTACAACATTTGGTAAGGGTTACGCCTATGCACACTGTGAATACTCGAAACAAGGGTATGGGAGAGATTGGGCGAATTCATCCGAGCGAAGAGACCCTAAATCTCACCTTAACAGAATAGAGGCAAATTCCTACTAGAATCGGGAAAGTTCAGAACGGAGATCTTCCTGGTAAACTTCTTCAGAAATCAGTAATCATGAGCTCTATTGCTGTCATCAAGGTTACTTGTCATTGTGGAGATGACGCACGCGCGGAGAGTGCAAACACTCATGTGAGACCAGCAACCTTCCAACCGCGCCACAGCCACACATCTGCGAAAGTGCTTACCCTCCTGATTTGTCCCCAAATATATGCGACCTTTTATGTTCGCCTTCGTTGTGATTAGCGAACACCGAACGATGGAACAGAAGGGTGGGTTTTATAAACGATGAAGAGTGAGTACTGCTTTGCCTCTGACGATCCTAACGCTGTGTGTGAAACGTTGAGCTCTTTGGTTAGTTCCTTCTATGAATTTTCGGATTGTAGGGAATCTTCTCACTGACAATAACTTGCAAAAATCTTTTCTGATTCTCTCTCAGGATAGTTTTCTGACGAGCCTTTGAAAAGCGACCGTTGCTCTGTAGCCGAGCTTCTACCGCGATTGTGAATGTCGATACTCGTATTGGTAGCACGTCGAGTAGAGTCTTTCACTAATTTGCACCAAAGTGGAAGCAAATCCAGGAGCATTGCAGTTGAGATTTGTACGTATGCACTATTACATTTGGTAGATTCATGTATATGTAGCCGTGTATGTGGAGGTATGTGCATTCGCGTATGCACATGGCGGTTGTATTATTATACATATGAATACAATTATAGGGATGTTGTTGATAGGAGTTCTGCTTTATAATAAGGTGGTCTAAACATAACATGCTCTAATGAATCTGAGCACACGTTTATTGACAGCAAATCTAACACATTTTTTTGGCCTCTGAAAAATTGCAAGTTATGGTTTTCGCCTACCGCATATCATATTTAATTGTTTAGCACACTTATTTATTTTTTCTGTGTTTCTCCTATGATCATAGCTGTTATTGACATTGTGTTAGTGTTAGTTGTTCTGAAGTGGATTAATTCTTGCTCACTGATGAGCCACGGGAGTCAACTTCACTTAGTGATTCGTCTGAGTGATCATATCGAAAATCACATTTTTTGTTACCACGTGTACCTCGTATACACGGCCTTTAATCAACTAGTAACATTGTCCTTCGTTCCTTTAAGGATCTTTTCTGATCCTCTCCCAGGATAGTTTCCTGTCGAGCCTCTGAAAAGCGACTGTTGCTCTGTAGACGAGCACGGCAGCTAAGATGTGGGCGAATTGCGACGGATTACTCCGAAAAACTTGTTCCAAATCAAAATTTCGTCACCATTGTTCTTACGCACCCGGTAGAATTTTTCAAAGCATTTGTGGTGTTTATAAATTCTGGCACGAGGCAGTGATCCTGTCTTCCATATTTTTTCTTTCACAGTCGGCTATGGTCTGATAAGCAACTACAGCGATGTATAGACTCATTCCACAAAGCGCATGCCACGAACAATGTTGAAAACCCTCGTTGAAGACCATTTTGAATCGATTTTAGACTCTTCAAAGTAGTTTGACAATTCTCACGATCTCTTCGGAGTTCGACTTTGAAGACAGACACAGGAGGCAGCAGTAAGTTCAGTATGTTGAAAGACACGCTAGTTCCGGAAGCGTTTTCCTCTGGGCATAGGGGAAGCGTATGGACAAGCCCAGCCACAGTGACAAATGTAAAACGAAGATACCGCTGGTGGGATTTTGCACTTATGATAGTCGGCTGTGGGTATGCATTTTTGATGCGCGAAGTCATTCCACCTTTTCATAAATGTATGTATGCTGAACTATTTTCAGAACTTTAAATCAGTTTCATGCATCCCACTTCCTACCTGCATCCCTCGCTCACCTAAAAATGATCGAAAAAAAGTTTTCTCGAAGGTGCTGTCGTAGCCTTTTCTGACCCCGTAAGGAATTCGCTTCCGATCGAGTCGCCTATAAATAACAGTCGCGCCAATTCCTACCGCGTGTGGAGCTTTTTTTGGCCGAGTGATTTTGAAATGGAACATCTGCTCGAAATTGATCTACTTCAGCTCTGGCTGCACCTTTATTTTGGTTCTCGCGTTGTGCAACAGTGATTTTTAGAAGTAAACGATAGCACAATCTTCTCACAAGATGTGCACGTAGTTTCAGTAAACCCCACTGTAAATCTTCGGTTTTGCTCCTTTCTGGGGAGCAGAGCAGAATATTAGAGTGCACCGCGCTAACACTATAATATGCCACTTACGGCAACCACCGTGGCCAGTTCGTGATATTTGAAAAAACTGTTTCTCTATTCTCCTGATAGGAGTGGCAATCACCGCTTTATCACAGCTCGAAAAGGAATCTTGTATGTTTCGGGGCTCGGAAGTGTAATAAAATGATTCTAGAAGAAGTTCTAGAAATCCGAGCTTGACATTCTAAACACACTTATAGTACCGTTTCGTAGGTCATATAGGCGGAGAGCGTGCCTCGAAAACGCGATATGAGCTTTTCCTTGTGCACGTTGTGAGAAAAACTTCACCTCAAACATTTTGTATTTGGATGTCGCCATCATAGAGTGCCCGTTGTTTATTACAACAGTGGTTCACGAAGAGAAATTGTTCCCATAGCAGAAGCACAATTCTGCATTAAAAGTTAGTGCCGCTTTTTTTGCAAAAACATCTCGATTAGTGAGTCACTCTAGCTTTTTCAACCAAATTGCAGGAAGCAGTCAGAGATTTTTTTAAATACCGCAGAGTATTCGGGATAAAGTTGGAGTGGGGCGAGAGTGCTCTTTTCTTGAATGGCCATATTCAATGTTTCTGGGTGCAGATAGGCAGTGGGAGGCGTAGAAATGTTTCGCGAGACTTCAGCATACACTACATAGATAAGAAAGAGATGAGGCATTGTGTGTGCCTGATCTCTTTCTTATCTATGAAGTGTACGCTCACGCTACGCTTGCAAGTAGCCCACCTTACCATCTGCTCCATCGTTACACATTGGTGATGTTGACTCGTGGTGCTTATATATGCGACAAAATGGTCATACTACCCAGAGTGAAGGCTCCAACTAAATTCGTTTATTTTTGTTCTTGTTTCGGAGCAGTTTCGCAAATGTAGAATGTAGAATTGTGGTCAGCCATCGAAAACGTATGCAGCATTATAAAACTTAATTTGAGTGGCTCCTTCGACCTTATATATTGCCTTTGCAAAGCGAAGCTGAAGGAGAGCGTGGTTGAAAATGGATCTTACAATGATCCCATTAGTTTTGAGTAGACACGCTGAGCTGCAGCAGGCAGAGGTGTAATGGTTGTTCGCCTCTGGTCATCAACAAGATTTTGTATGCAATGCGAGTGCCATTAATATTGGGTTGTCCGGGAAGTTTCGGCCACTGCAGGCCATCACTTACACTTTTTGCACAAGACACTTTCTTTTACCGCAAGAGCAACAACGCAGCTCAAGCCGCGAGAAAGATTTGTCACAATCAGGTAAGCAATGCCTCGGGGAACGTACCGTTTACTTTACGAAATTTCGACAGGGTGGATTCACCTCAAAAAATTGTCAACGCCCAGGGAGGCTATCATCAATCAAAACGCCTGAGTCAAAATGCTAATCGAAACAAATCGGGACATACTATCATGAAATAGGAAAAAGGCTCAGTGTTTCGAAATCAACCATATATGACCGTACGCTGGAACTTGGTTTGTGAAAGTCTTGATATTTAGGTACCTCACGAAACGAGCGCAATGTGATGGACCGCGCCTCCATTCTCGTTGCTCAAACGAGAACGGTGGGCTCGTTGCTCAGACGATCAAGATGAGCTGTCTTTGAAACATGAAAGCTGAGGACGAAAGGGGGGTTGTGTACAACAACGTAGAGAGGAAACAATCGAAAATCTCAGTAAGATGACGCGAACCACTCCAAATTTCAAATTTCAGGTACGAAAGGTTATGCTGTGTTGCTGGTGGGATAGAGGGAATCATTATTATGAGCAGTCGCCGCATAATCAATCCACAACTCCAGAAATTTACTCTAATTAGCCAGGCAATCCAAGGGCAGCAATAAATCAGAAGCGCCCAGAACTAGACGATCGTAAAAGAGTTGACTTCCGACAGGATGACTCCAAACTACACGCATTTTCGGTCACTCGTCAGAATTTGCTGGATGCCTTGCCACACCCTTATATAGTAGGAGCATAGCTTCAGCAGACTACCACTTTTTGAGTTTTTTACAAAATCTTGTGAATGGAAGATTTTTCAATCCGCTGGCGGACTGCAAAAAGCACCTACATATTTTTAATTCTAATGGAACCTTCTTTGAAAGTGGGATAATGGAACCAATAGGGAGATGGCGATCTATTGTTGATAAAAGGATAAAGGATGAAATCTTTGGCGTTAATCAATCCCGTCTGAGGGATGTGCCCCCCGCACTCGGATTCAATTCAGAATCTTAGTGGCGTAATGAGTGCGTATGTGGCCTATACAATGACTTGCAGTGGCCAGCCGATGTACAAGTCAGTGCTTTTTTCCTCCCAGACGAGTCTGGTACCAATGAATCGACCTCGAAGGGATGGAAGGCTTGGTTAGCCCAGACGGGCATCGATACGGGATTCGAACCCCCTGACCGTGCGTGTGATATAGTGCACCACTTGCCACTATACCACCTCCGCCCTCTATTGTTGATATGAACACTATACCATACCCGGCGCCTTCCTTTATTTCGAAGGTTATTAAGGAGAATAGTTATTCTATTATGAGCAGCCGGCGGGTAAAGTGACGTGTTAAACACCGCATGAGTCACATGAAGAACGAGCGGGAGTGCCCTCCTGTGTGCTTATCTTTTCGGGGATCCGGTGGCGAACAGCACTGAGAACACCTCCAGACATGTGTACATTGACTTTGTACGCAAGTATGCTTCCCAGTTTGCTTTCTTTGTTGGAAGTGATATTGCGAAGGTCTAGCTAACATATTATTCCATTCAATATTGGAGACTCAGTGAAAAAATGCAAAGCCTTTCACAAGCTTCATCGAATATTGCACAGGTCAACGAAGTAGAAACAGTTAGGTAAGTGTCTTCGTGATAAATAACTTTGAAAGGCTTTCTACAGTATGTGTTCTGATGCGGTAAGACTGGGGGGGGGGGGGGGGGTGTAGAAACCGTATATTCCAAAAACACCGCGAGACATTGCTGATACAGTTCATATTTTTGCAAACTCGAGCTGATCTTCAGAAGAGTTTGAGAGGATTTAACATTTCCATCCTTTCATTCTGTCTCGTTAAGAATATCGCCTTTCTTAGTAAGAACATCGCCGTTAAGAAAGCCAATCGATTGATCTATCTGGAGAGAGTATGAATCATCATAGGCAACGAGGCCCTCTCATCGAACCAGTGTCTTTTGAGCCATTTAGCGGATTACATTAGACTTCATTATGGATATCAGCTCGAAAAGTTCGTCCAAGGAAACAAACCCCTGCTGAGCAGTGTAGTGAACGAAGGTCGAACCACAAATTTTCCTCCCTTGCCGCTCACCGAAAGGCAGATTTTACCATCCTACGCGTTTCCGTATCTTCGCAATCCTTCCCACTGCGCGTTTGCCTAAGAATCTTTCGCGAATATGTCTCCTGAAAACTGCAAGCACTAATCTGCCCAGCGAATATTTGCTGTTTCCTATCCCGTTACTAGATCGTTTTATAAAAAAACCAGAACCGTCACCTTACAAGAAACAAAACTTCAAGAACATCGATTAGGAGTACATGAAATTTCCAGGAAACAAGAGGGAAAGGCTCTTACACGTAACGATCGCACAGTGGGAAGGATTGCTAGAGTTACGGAAACGCGTAGCAGATGGTGAAATCCGTGTTTCCGTTAGTGACAAGGGAGGAGAGCTTGTGGTTCTACGTCGTTCACCGGAATGGGAATCACAGCACTCCACCTTGAGCGTACTTCTGTATACAACCGCTCCTCTGCCCAACAATGAGACCTTCAACGACATATGAGGTCTATGTGCTGCGTCATACCAAATTTTGAAAAGAATTTGCTGACATGGTAATGACTGATTTGAAAAAATTCAGTCTCGCACTTCTGAGGCTATTTCAAGTTATCAGGGAAAGTCAAAAAATGAAGGGATACTCGAGGAAAGAATAAATATCTCAAAGATGAAGAAACGAATTGTTTCCTGCCTTCCTCGTTTCCTCCTGCAATTTATTTCGGCTTTACAAAAAGCATCAGAAAAAGATCAATTTGATGAATTCTCCGGCCTTGCATCAACAGCCAGGAACAGAGAAAGATTCTTATATATGTTCACTGCAGCCTCTCCAAGGTAATGACTGCTTTGGAAAAATTCAGTCTCGCACTTCTGAGGCTACAACTTTATGAGGCCAACCTTCGGCTATCTTGCCTTCGAGAAAGGGTGCGAGGTCACGGGATTACGGCCACACACTCTTTCTTCCGATTAATTTGTAGGTCCCTAGCTGTAATCCAACACACCTCAAGTGCTTTTCGCGCGGTGGTCTCCATTTCTAGTGTCAAGATGGCTACTGAAATTGTAAATTCGTTACCATCATGGCACGAAACTCGATCCATTCAAAGTGGTGTTTGAGTGCGAGAAGGGGACACCCTGTTCCACCAATATGTACGCTCAGCTCCACTGGCCTGTCAACGAGTTTCGTAGATAACCCCTGCTCTCATGCAATGCATACCGTCGATTGGAAGGGCTTTTAAGACAATCTGGAGCGTCACCCAAGATGTCGTATAGGCGATTGCGGACCAGTTGTCGACAGAGGTTTCCTAGGGTATTTTCACAACCATCACCTCTTCCTGTAGGTTACACCTGGTCAAACTTGATCGTATTGCTCTGCTCATTTCTTCGGATATGAATGGCAGGCAAAATGCCACCTTATTGACTGGTGCTCGTTCACGAATTCTACGAAGTGGGAAATGCCCCTCACGCCGTGACCTCACGTGGAAGTGAGGGCACCCATTAGACAACGCAACCCTTCGAGCTATGTCCAGCGATTCTGTTTCGAAATCCACATTAGAGGAGATCTGGGTCCGGGAACTTCTCCCTTGTCACGGCGTCGCACACGCCGCACCCGCCGCGTATCAAAGGATTGCGATGGAAGATTCGAGCGCGCAATTTGTAAGGTAGGGAGTCCTTTAAATATTTGAACTGGCTGGCCGCTTTCTTCAATTTCAATGCAGTCTTGATCGCCGCTTACATAGGAGGAGTTATTTCAACTAATCAAGTCTAATAAACATGAAAACGAAAAAGAAACAGAAGAAAAAACGACCAAATCCAACAAAAAAGCAAGGCAATCAAAGAAAAACATCGCGTCCTATCGATTGGCGGGAGGCGGGGTGAGTACGGTAATTGCAGTGACATTTGCTGCATGCCGCAAGGGAGAATGCCGCGATAGGGGAGAAGTTCCGTTACCCGAGGAACTTACTGGCAACTCTGAACATATTGTTGATGACAGATTGTTTTGTTCCTAAGGAGAGGGCAGGGGGGGGGGGCGAGCGGTAGTGAATAATGATATTCTTACAGCTCGGCTCTCGGTATCATTTGGTCCTCATTCTTCCCTTCGCTAGCTGGATCTGGATATTAAGGAAGGGTAGCCAGTTCTTCTAGGCCTTTCCCGTGTGAATTTGATTTTATCTGCCAGGTTGTTAAGGATTCCAAGGAAAATGTTCATCTCTTCTTGAGTGAAACATATGATTAGGCAGTCGTCAATAGGATTCAATGTTAGATTCCGGTAAGCATAGAGTGCCTATGATTGCTTCCATAGCATCAAAACAAATTCGGATAGAGGGGGTTTTCATTGGGCGGTTTTTGTTAAAGATATAAACGACCGGAGATCCTCAGTGGATTCTACTTGTTGAAATTTATCAAAAGAAAAAATTGAACAATTCTAACGGTATGTAAGAACAGTTTGCAGCGATCATCTCTGCACATTACCAGATCTGACAAGGTTTTCATTTGAGATACCGCGAGTTTGGAGTGATATCATTTATTATATAGAAAAGGTGTGAAAAAAACCTGAAAGCCAGCTTACTTTATTCACTGTTTGTAAGCTAGGACGCCATTCCGAAACAGAATGTTTTGAAAAACTTGGAGAGTAACAAAAAGCAACGTACACCCTCGCCTGTTGCCCACGCAGCAAGAACATGGCTGCAAGAACGAGCTTCTTCATCCATCATCATATCGTTACAGTCCTCACTTCTTTCAATCTGGTTATCCGATTCGCAGAGAAATATCTGAACAAGTTTGAAGAGGGTAAAGAAGAGAGAGGTCTGAAACTCGAACCAGGTGAACTTTATCATGATAGCCATAATGGTGAACCCAGGCGAGACTCCTACACGTGGACACACTGTCATTACAGAGCAGACTTCTGAGATGAGTGCTTCTTAGGCTGTTGGTGGTAGTATTAGGGTGTATGGAAAGTTTTGAGGAAATTAAGTCGCTTAAGTTCCAACGCAAAATAACTACACCAATTAACTTAGATCAGCAAACGAGATAGTGTCCCCTCTTCATCACAATGTCCTACATCAACCGTACAAGGCATTTATGCCATTCCCCCAATATGAAGAGAGGAGTGACGCAATACATTCATCTATCACCTACTTGACTTCTCGAAAGTTGGTGAATTTTCCCCTTCAAAGCAGGTCTGTGGGCTTCTAAAAGTATGGCAGTAATGTGGGTTGAGGTCAGGTGAGTATGTGGGTAGTGGGGAGTCAGATTAGCCAAGACAAAACCAGCTCATCCATCGACGTCATCGCCCAGGGTTATTGAACATTACCCATCGCAATCGGAAATTTTCTTGTAACCGGTGTGAAGTGGGAGCTCGAAACACCACCTCTTAGCCAACCACAGGATATTCTTGCGATTATCGCAGTACGCTCTGGTAGAGTTTCTTAGTAAAACAGACGGTTGAGCAGAAGAAGAATAAGTTCATGTCTTTTTTGGCGTGAGCGAGGTGCCATATAGCGGGCTGTGGCCTTACCTCCGATTCTAGGCCTTGCGATTTCCTGTGCAGATTTCTGTATGACAGCTGCTTTTTATCCTAAGCATTGATGAAGTCGGCTGATGTGGTCGTTCGCTCACAGTCGAAGAGCTTATAACAGACATTGACTCGCATTCGAGACGAGTGTACGGTATTTACAAAGGGTTTTGCTATAAAGGTGAATGTTGATAAGAACGTCTTGGATGATGGACTGGATAATTGCCCTTCCCAAACTCTGTCACTTTAAACAGAATTGTTGTGGCTGGAGGCCAGAACAGGGTAGGCATTCGAGGACAGTGGACGTTCGCTGCGAAAAAATTCATCGGAACAAATCGCTTCTCAGAGGAAGCAATCTTGCCATTTATGGTAAGCGACAAGGGAGGTTCACACTCGTTCAACGCTGAGGTATGAATAATCGCGCCGGGCAGGGTCAAACCTACATTGGGCCGAAGGAAATGTATGAAAAATGAAGATTAAGGATTAGTCCTGGCAGACTCATGAGTCGTTTCCATCACTTCAAACTTTAAATGAAGCGGTTTCGTCAAACCTTAACACTTATGGGCATTTACCAACATTGTGTGTAGTTATATTCTTAGGATTGATTCGACGAAGTGGCATCTGTTTGAAGGCCCGTAGAGGATTTCAGGGCTCCCGGGGGGAAAAATGTGCAGGCTAACTGGAAAAGAGAAGGATGGAATTGTAAAGAAGACAGGTTGGTGTTGTTAAGTAGAAACCTACATTCTCTGGAAAATCTCTTATTGATTGAAAAAAGAAGGAGTAAAAATCGAAGGAATTCAAGTGTTCGCTGTGAAATTGTGAAGAAGTCAGGAAGGCATTGTCAGAAAAGAAACCTACATGCCCTGGAAAATATCCTGTTGAATGAAAAAAGGGAGAGTATAAAGCAGAGGAAGTCAAGTGGGCATTGTCAAAAAAATTTCTACATGCTATGAAAATCTTTTGTTGATTGGAAAAATAGAGAGCATTAATCAGAGGAATTCATGTGTTTGCTGTGAAACAGGTTGGTGTTGT